TCCTAAAATGTTTGAAATGAGGGYGACTTGTTAACCTCCAAGTCCTTCATATTTATTTTATTCTCTTAAGGGTATACTGGTGTACCACTTTATGGAAGGCCATACTGAGGCAACCAAGTTAAAAAACAGCTGGGGCAGACATTCGGTGGAAAGCCAAAAGCCAAGGGCTTGAGGGGTTCACACTTGGAGCTCGTCCCAAGCTCAGGGCACTTGTTAGCTGAGAGTGATGTGGAGTGGCCAAGGGAACCCTGAGGCTGTGTGGAAAGAAGGTAAAGGTCACATGGAGGGAAGGAAGTGAACGTGACTGTTTTTGTGCCCATGCATTGGAGATGCCTCTTGGTCCCTGTCTCCTCCCCCTCTGAGAATTGCTAAGTATGTGCGTTGGGTGGAGGTGGCAGGAACAGGGCCCACTGGATTAAATGATTGGTAAAGTGTCTGAGGAAGTCTCAATCATAGTGCCAACCATCTGCTCAAGCTCAGTTGTGAACTCAAGAGGTTGATAAAGAAAAAGAAAAACATTTCAAGGGATTGGCTTCTTCTTACACTTCCATGAAGCTGAAATGTCCAACTTCATCGACCTTCTCTATTGCTTTCCTTTTTTTTTTTTTTCTATTTTGACTAACTCCCTGAATTAAAAGAGAAAGTCTTCAATGGTCTTCTTATAATGGAACATAAGCTCCAAGTATTGCCATGGGCCACGCCCCATAATAATAAGTGTTCTTGTCCAAACTGAAGTTTTGCCAGCTCCTGTGTTTGTGAAAATATCAGTGTGGCTCCCACATTCCAGTATCCCTTCTAGAGTGAGCGACCATGAGAGCTCTGGGACTGACAGGGTCTTAGAATATCATCTGAAAAGTTAWGGCTCAGAGGGGGTCATGAAGACCAGACATAGAGTTTGAGGGCTAGAAGGGTCTTTGGGAGATGTCCAGGCTGCCTCCTCCTTTCATTGAAAGGGACATGGTGCCCAAAGAAGAGAAGTGAGTTGTCTAAGCCCCTTGGAACACGGCTGGTGCTAGGTGTCTCCTGACTCCARGCGGGATGCAAACCCTCCGATCCTGCCTCTACTCAGCCTGCCCCTAAGTTGGAAGGCCGTGTACTTCCCAAGCTTTAAAATCAGCAGTTCACCCCACCACCAAGGAACCACGCAATACACACATTTGTTCTGATGCTTGGGCGGACAGGTCTGTGACCTTCTAGAGTGGAGGCAGGTAAGTGTGAAAATGTTCTGGTCGAGGGGCTCCCTCCCACTTGTGGACACTGTCAGCTCCCTGCCCTTTCCATTCTGGTTACCTGGCATGCCAACAGCCTCCTGTTTCTCTTTACCATGAGGAAAATGCTTGGCCACAGGGTGGATTGCAGTGACCCTCAAATAACGAGAGGTGCAGAGTCAGTGGATAAAAAGCCCAGCTTCTACAGTGCTCGCTCCGTGGAATAGTTCTGTGGGAAACTCCACACGGTACCTTAAAAGGTCCCTGGAAGAATTAATCCCCAGTCCACCCCCAGTGGTGAAGCTCTGGTGAGCAAACCTGGGCTGGCTTTCCACTCTCTCTTTCTCTCCCTTCCCTGTCCTTGATCATGCTTCGGGGAATTGCTTCCCACATCAGCTACCTGCGCCCAGGTCCAATCTAAAGACCTGTTTTTGTGGACAATTCTAACCATGTCATCAAGGGAGTCTTGGAGAACTGAGAAGATTAATGGCTCCTCTCCTTGACAAGAAAAGAGTTCAGCACAGTGTGGACCCCTAATTACCCACCCTCAGAGGCCGCTCTGCCTCTCAGCAAAACATCCACCTCCAGCCCTTCCCCAGGTGTATGGCCTACCTCAGAGTGGTCTGTTCTTGTGGTCAGCCCCAGTGCTCCCCCCCAGGACATACAAAACCCTGGACTCCAAAAACAGAAAAGTGACTTGTCCATCATATAAAAAGAGCAATAATTTGGTAAATTAATCACAAATTTGCTCTCCCTGCTTGGTTGCCTTTCTCCCTTTATGTGGATAATTGAGAGCATATTATGTTAATTTGACAACAACAGAAGTTCAAAAAGGAAACTTAACCTTGGGAGCAGTGGGTTACCATTAAATGGGTGTGTCTGGACAACTCCACAAAGAACATGAAAGACAAACTCCTCATGAAGCCAGCCAATGTCTGGGTGCACAAATGGATATTTTTGCTAATGAAATTAGCTGCGCAGAGTTCCCCAACTTTAACCTTGAAAAATGMGCATTGTTTGCTCAAGAGGCAGAATCTGCTCATGCAGAGATAGTCCTGCCAATGTGCTGCTGCATATTTAGGGATGCAATTTAATCACTGTGAAGTTTCTTTGAGAAAAAGTGACCGTACATGTGCAATAATCAGGTCCCAGAGTCTAGATTCCACCTCCCTCTATCAGGATATCTAAATTCCGTCAAAGCAAACACACTTCCAAATATATGTGTGAACCAAGAAATGGATTTGAAGACTCTGCAAAACACCTTGACCTTCTTGGTCTCTGGAATCTTAAGTCACAGATACCTCCTTGAAACACTAGGGTCCATACACAATGGGGGGATCTCTTATGCACCACAGACCAGTGACCATCTAAGTGATGTTTGTGTTTGCCTCAAATCTAAATCCAAACAAGTGGGGTTTATTATCACCCCATATGGGGTTGGGTGAGAGTTTAGGGGGAGAATAGAACCAGCRGGAAACAGAATTGCCAGCTCCCATGCAGAGCTTTGAAGTGAAGTTGTCTCATTTTGGAGGCCCAAACCCACTCAGCTCTCTCGCAGGAAGCAGACAGGATGTTCCCAAGAACATTCCACTAGTGAGAAGGGAGTTGTTACCCAGAAGTTGGAAGGAGGATGAGGAGGCGGGCAGGGGCAAGGGGATCCCATGCCTGAGCAAGGGATTGGGAGGTGGGGAGGAGGCTGGATTGGGAGGTGGGGAGGAGGCTGGGGCTGGGTTCATAACAATGGGAGAATAAGAACCCACAGAGGTCTCCTATAAATTTGAGAAGTTATCACTGGGGAGCGACTCAGGAAATACCCCCTGCTTTAGAAGAGGAAATGCTCCCTAGTATTCCAGCTTAGAGACTCTGTTAGGGGGATTGGGCCCCCGTGAGAGGAAGAGAGAGAGCAGCAGATGCCTGGATACACAGCTCCAGGGAGTGTTCCTGGCTGTCAACACAAGGGACTGGGTGATGCACTCCTTCCACRTTTCCCTCCTCCCTTGCTTCAGTACTCCCTCCTCCCATTTCCAGGGCCTGGCACCTCAGATTGCATCTGGACCCTTCTGAGCACCATCCTAGCTGACTGTCAAGACCAGCAGGTGCCATGGTGTGCCCCAAGGCTCCAGAGAGGGTTCAGAGTGACTGTAAAGGATGAACACCGCTGGGGATAAGGTGCTCAACCCCCGGAGCAAAGGCATCCCTCAAAGGCGCAGGTGAACGTGCCCTCTTTCACACTCCACTTCCATCAGGGCAGTTCCCCAAACTCGGGCGACACTGGAAATAAAGAGAACCCTTTCCTGGAGCCTCTCTCCTTAGGCAAACTCAGCTGCACACTGTGGCCATGTGGACCTGGGCCTGGACGTGAGGTCCTCATCCCTTTGCCCTTGCTAGGGTTTCTGGGATCAGTCACATTGTCTATGGGAACCCACGGTGTGCGCTCTCAGATTCACCTGAATGGGATCAGATAACGGTCRAGGTTACTGAACTCTGGGAAGTTCTACAGTCTAAACTTTAAAGTTCTATTTTCAACAGGTGAGGTGGCCTATGCTTATAATCCTAGCCACTGGAGAGGCTGGGGCAGGAAGACTGCAAGTTCAAGGGCAGTCTCAGCAACTTAGCGAGCCMTTAAGCAACTTAGTAAGACCCTGTCTTGAAAATTTTGAAAAATAATAATAATTAAAATAAAACGGGGTGGAAATGTGGCTCAGTGATAAAGTGCCTCTGGGTTCAATTCCCAATGTCCCCTGCACCCCCTCAAAGAGCTTTATTTTTCATTTGGAGTTCTCATCACATCTTTCTTAGACTTGGGATCTGTCAGTGGTCACCTCTTTTTTTTTAATAAGAGAAAACTTTATGCTGTTCTGTGGTCTTTAGGGTCAGGATGGCCCAACCAGTTTTCATGAGAAATACAGGAGGAAATGCTTCAGTCAAAGCAATAGAACTGTCCTGTTGCTAAGGCCAAGTTTGTTCCAATGGACATCTCTGGACTTGTATTTCCCTGTYGGATACTATTTATTTGGGGGAGTGAGTAATAGACTTGGGGCTCCAGATTCTCTGCCCTGACCCCACAGGATCACTTAGACAAGGGAGCAGGGATATGCATGGAATTTAGACGTTTACAAAACATAATCAAGCAAAGGAGCTTTGGAGACGCTGTTGAAATGGCAGGACTCGAAAATCCAGCTCACGGACGACAAAACCGGGCAACACAACCAAAAAAGCAAATTCCTTCCTTTCTGTATCCCTCTCCAAGAGGAGGTAAGATAGGGGAAGAACAGGCAAGAGCCCATTACGAAGAACATACATACAACCAAAAAAAAAAAAAAAAATCTCAGTAAAACAAAAAGATTCCTAAACTCCTCTGAGTTTCCTTCCATTAAAATTGCCCTTCCCAGAATGCAAAAGAAACGCTGCTAAGGCTTGCTGCCGGCAGGCTGGCTGTGAGCAGTCTTGTCCACATCTGGGGTGGGGTAAGGTGGCCTGCGGTCTCTGTGCCCAAGGCCTCCCCATCTGCGGGTCTTGTGAGTGGTTGTGGGGTCCAGACAGAGAGATGGGCATGTGTCCTCTGACTTTCCCCCCACCCACCACAGTCATCCCACCCACATCAGGAAGTCCCTTTCCTTTTTGCATGTTTAGGAATTGTCACTTCCAGGGCCCCCCTTAAGATGGGTGGGGGGGGCAATGCAACAATAATTCCCTGAATGTCCTGTTGAGGCTTCCAACAGAGAGAAGAATGTCAAGGGGCGAGGGGGGGGGTGTTGTGGAGTGAATTAACATAATGACTCAAAACTGCACTAATGTTTCACAGCTTTTTTTTTATTAGCAATACCAAGATAAGTTATTGAAGCATTTTTAGTATTGTTTTACATTCCATTCATAAATGACCTAACTTGTAACTCAGCATACAGCACACTTAAAGATATAGTTTGACACTTATTCAGAAAGCTACAATTATGATAACTTACATGCCTTCATTACCAGGAACACCTTAATATATCTTCTAATTACTTCAACAATACTCTATTCCAAAGCACACGATAACCCAGTACAAGTTTACACATTTTGCTTCAATCACCAGGTTTTTTTTTTTTTTTTTTTTTTTTTTTAGTTGTGAATGTCAAGGTGCTGTTTGCTGGAATTTTACTGTCTTCTGTTCCTGGTTAATACGACAACCTGACACAATATTAAACTAGCAATATTTCTGCTTAAATACTATGGAGAAAGATAATTACTGCACTTTTCTGTATTCTTCTAAAGTGTTACAAAATACAGGACAATCAGACACAAGCGGTAATGCCGACAAAACCATCAAGGGGCCCACCTGTTTGAGCTCAGGTGAGCTGGCAGAATGGAACCCCCCAGCCAGGATTTTTTTTTTTTTAAACAGGTGAAGGGGCCTGCAATCCACCAGCATTTGTTGCTCAGGATTTATGACTTTGAGGGAATTTTCTTTCCATTCTAAGCCTTTGCAATCCATGACTAATAGTGGAACATATGGGGCAATATTTTTAGCCTCCCTGATACTTTGCTATATATACTGTAGGTTGGTGTGCCGTGTGTATACACATACCTATGCCAATAGTAATTATTTATTCAACACACATATGTGTATACGTTCTTCTCTTGACTTTACACGATTAACAAGCTGCAGATAACCACCGAGGAGCACGAACAGACAAGGGCAAGTCCAGATAGACCGACTAGGACAGGGGGTGTCACTTACCTGCAAGAAAACGTGCAGATTCATTAAACAATCCAGAAACCAATTGAGCTAGAAGCATTTTGAAAGCAAGGGCAGGGTCACATCCCCTAATTGTTTAATGGAATACTGACAATAAAGCAATACTTATAAAATTTGGTCCTTCCATCTCTGGTGAAAGCAAGAATAGTCTACATGATTAGAGCAGGTTGGCAATTAGACGTAGAGGTGCTGCTGATCAGTGCTAAGTAATAGGAGATAATTATTATTTATTTGAAATCTGGGCTTTGCATACAACATCTGAAAATTCAGGAAAAAAAAAAAAAAAAAACTAGATTCCTCCAAAAGCTAACATGTGGGCCCGAATCTGGATACTCATCAGTTCCAACCATCACTTCCAGTCAGTAGCCTAATATAGACACCAAAGCTTAACCCCAGGGAACCTGCAGAGTGTAAGACATCAATGGGGTCAGACTGCTCCTATTCTAGATGGTGGTGACTTGGGCTTCCTTGGAGAGTTTGTATTTCACCAGGGACATGAGGGTCTATTCTCACAACACACTCTCCTCTCAATACTCTCTTCTTCCCTCTCAATCTTAAGTCATTACTGAAGGGGTGGGAGGGCTCGATATATATATAAACTTTTTTTTTTTTTTTTGAAACTATAGCTTGGATGCTCTCTCCTCCCTCCCRGGGTTGAACCTGGGAAGCAGGTATCACGCCATCCAAAGGGAACATGGACGCAGCAACCAAAATGAATGCTACCAGAATTTTCTCCTGCTTCAGAAGCACTGTTGATTCAGACAGTAGCTTCTGAAGCCAAAAATATGCAGCAAAAGGAAAGGAACATAAACAAGGCTAAATGTCACCAGTGTTTGCCGACTTACAGACACCATCCATTTGTTTGTTCTGAAATGACGAGTGGACCATTTGGCAAATACAATGGTATTCACACAACAGTTCTGTCATCCTGCAGTGCAAACGACATCACATCAATGGCATTCCCATTTAATTTAAAAAGAGGGATGGGGAGGAGGAGAAGAATGCCGAAAGATTTCAGAGAGGGCTGCCATCCAAAGGGGCTGCCTCTGCATCCAATATGGTGGCGCATGGAGCACAGCTCTGGATGAGGGCACAGGAGTGCCTACCTGGGGGTTCTGGCTGCTGTAGGAGATCCTAGGGGGGCCTCACCTGTACTTTGTCTTACCACAGTCAAAGAGGAAAGCTTTGTAGGCTATTTCAAGGCAGCCGGCAGAGGCAGAGCAGGCACAATGGARTAGTGATTTGCATGAATTTAAAAGTTTCTGCCTTTAGACTTCATGGCAGACCAAACGGTCCTCCCTACTGGAATCTAATAACAAACCCTGGACACCCACTAGGACTGGGAGCAGAGTAGACCATGGAGCCCACTGACTACCCTGTAAATGATCAAATTGGAAATTGAGTGCAAAACGGTGCTTCATTCACAGACTCTGAAGCCAAACCACGTGAGAATCAGTTCATACAGAAGAGGAAAAGGAAAAAAAAATAATTGCTCATCTGGCTTTAAATAAAGCAAGGCAGCACCTGAGACAACAACAGACATCTCAGGGTTGTCCACACTCCCAGGCTAATTGCCCTCCCTTGGGTGGCCTTAGATGTAGCCTGGGCTCCCACGTGCTTGGCAGGCTGGAATGTGGTAGTTCTCTTCCTGTGCAATGTTCCCGACTCAATCTCCTTTGTTCATGGGAACCTCCTGACTTCAGGGCCCAACTTAGATTGTTCTACAAGTCCAAAAWAAATGCACCAACTGCCATAGGCAGTGCATCACAGTCTCTCAGATACACACATTTGATTCTCATGGTATTGCACATAACGCCAGCCATGGCTCTCCTTGAAGTTTCTAACTGATCAGAGACCTTAACTATTTCTTGGTTAAAGATGGAGAGGGCTGGACTTATTTCTACCTATAAGCACTTTGCCTTTTATCAGGCATAGATCTGGAAAGGTATAAACTATAGGGGTGAGATATCACAAAATTGCCAGAATCACCTTCAAAGCTAACTTTCCCATGTAGCAAGAAATAGCTCCTGACAGTGTGGCATGGTGCAAATGAGGATATAAAATGTGCTTCTAGAACATCAATGGACAGTAAGATTGGTGCTTGATTAAGTGTCCAAGGGACAATTACAACTACAAGATGGGCATCATTTCCTTACAACGGCCTCTGCACTGTAATGCAAACTCAACTGCAGAACATTTATCCAAGCTCTTTTATGTCTACCATCGTCTTCCATTCCTACACTCTGTCCATCTATGATGAAACAGTCTTTCAGGAAGCCAAGACAGAGCTACACCATCTTCTACTTTTATGCACACTTGCTGTGATGGGGGTGGGGTGGGGGGTGCTCTGGAATGATTCTCCTGAAAGTTTTTCCTGCCTAGGCAGAGATATGGCCTTCCAGAAACAGGTACCATCTGGGTCTACAATTCCTCTGTCTCTGGAAAGTCTCTCTGGCGTCATGTGGCAATAGATGGAGCCCTGCAGTTACTGATGTGGGTCCTCCCTGCATGGACTCACTGTCCAATGGAACAGCAGAGGAAGGTTTCTGCATCTTCACCACAGGAACACATCCTTCTTTACAATAGAACTGGAGGTGGCCGACTAAGACCCATGGGCCAATTCTAGCCTGCCCCTACTTTAGTTCATTAAGTTTTATAGGAACAAGCCACACCCATTCATCTGTATACTACCTTTGCATGCTTCTGTGCCAATAGTCTGAGCTGAGTAATGATGACAGGGACCACATGATCTGAAAGCCTAAAATATTTACTCACTGGTCCTTGAAGAAAATATTTGCCGATGTATAGCTGGCAAAAGGGTGGATCTTTTCAAACAACCTATGTTGAGAAATCACAGGAGGACCAAAGTCACATTTGAAGAGAGCTCAGTTTGGATATCCTGGTCCGGCTCATAACACAWTACAGAGTACACGAGGTGAAGATGTTTCAATGGGCCCTACCTTTTGGGGGTGGGTTCCAATGTTTTCACTGCGGTGGAAGCCCAGAGGACCTTTATTCCTTTGTCACAGGCATAATTTGAATTGGGGAAGCCAGTTGCCCAACCACCTGAGAATCAGTTGGAAATATTGGGACTATTCCTGTGGGTGGCCTTGCCTTCCCACTGGCTCCCTCCTGGGCCACTAGAAAGCAACTATGGCCTCATGTCCACAGCTGACATGCGGGCAGATTCTTCTTGCTCAGCTGGGTTTCCCTAAGTAATGGTAACTCCAGGACAGGACTTCTCAGGTCAAAAGGATTATGCCCTTCTCCCTGCCTTTCCCTTAATCTGATTTTAATGTTCCCCCATCAACCCTGCCCCTAGGGGGCTCCTGAAGGACCCAGAGCAACCCCTGCTTATGAAAAACAAACACAACAACTTCACGCCCTGGCTGTCTTAGTTTCCAAAGGGAAGGAGGAAGGGTGATCCTGTTGTTCTCCACATGCACCAACTCTGGGGTGAAACGTGGTCTTTACCCTTCCTATGTAGCTAGAAACAGGTGCTCTGCAGATGGGCCTCGGCATCGTCTGGGCGCATGGCAAAGCCTGGGCCTTCCATGTCTTTTTGGATCTCCAAGCTATCCACTGACCAGTGCTGCCATCACTGTTTCTCAGATTGGACATGGGGGGCTTGTCTGTCTGGCCCAGTCAGTAGTTGTGCACATTGTTCTGGTCTGCCCTTGCCCCCTCAATCTGAATACTCACGTGGAGCCTGTCTTATTGCAAAACCAAGGTCAGAYCCATCCTAACAAAACCCAGGGCAAATTCAAGTTCTCCATTGGCACTGGAGGGCTCTTGTACGTTATAGAACTGATAGAATAAAAAAAAAAAAAAAAGTGTAGGCCGTGCCTGGAGCCAGGAAGTCATCTCAAGAAGCTAACACTTTGATTCGAGGAGAATTTCATGTAACGAGATCAAATCCATAGTGGGACCTGATCCACTCCAACCGCAACAATACATGTCCTCCAGCGTAATCCAAGGTGGCTCAATTTCCTCCTCAGGATCATCTGTCACATGTCCCCGACATGCAAATGTGCTATTCTGCATGGATAGATCTTTAAAAATTCACTCCTGTTCTCAACATTGGCCTGTGCTACTGAAGTCTCCCTAATCAAGTGGTTAGGGCGGCCTCTTCTTGTCCTCTCTCTTATGCATTCTAGTTAGAAAAGCACACGGGCCAGGACACCAGGTTTTTGACACTAAGGAATTCAGGGCAAGTTTTAAAAGTTAAGAAGCAGAAATGCAATAATTAAGGGAAGTACCTGTTTGTACAACCCACTAAAAGAGAATCACCCATAGAGTTAGGGCGAGAAGGTTTGTTCTCCAACCAGCTAGGGCAAGAGAGACTCTGAGATCTGAGATCCAGGGGAGTCTACAAGACTTAAGGTTTTTACTGATGGTCTCTTCAAACACTTTTACACCCCAGGAGAACAGCATTCTTCCTTACACAGAGGAACAAGACTCTTTCCACAAGCCTGTTTCTAGGGTGATCTAAGGGGGGACTTGAGCTTACTAACCAGACAAAAATCAGAGTCCAAACTCTGAGATGAGAAACACAGGAATAATTCTTTGGTTTAGCTAAGCCCAGCTTCATGAGAAAGATCAGCTATCGACCTGGTGGACCTGTTTGAAAATCCATATCTACTTTTAAGTGGAGCAGAGAAGAGGGAATAAACATTAGGAGTATTTTATTCCTTATGCCAATATCATTTCCACCCTTGCAAAGTGAAGCCATTTGGGGTTTGATGCTTGCAACAGTCACTTGTGCTTCTTGCAGCGCTACGAAAAGAGTGAATTAGATTGAGGGGGAAAAAAAAATCATGACCCAGTGGATTGAAGTTTTCCTCTGAGATATTAACTCTTAGCAAGGATGACTTATGCCTGGCCCTTCTGGGTCCAAGGATGCCACCGCAGCCAGCATGAAAATGAGAGGACTAAACACTTCTGGTAGGCCAGATGTGGGGGCAGGGAAATGAGAACTGGACGAGGCCAGGATCCTCCTGGAGGTAACAGAACAGTGGCCCCCAACTCCAAACAAATGCAAAGGACAGAAAAGCACTGTCCCCTCCTGCTTCCAACTAGAGCAGAAGGATGCAGAAGAAAGGAGGCCAGATGGAGTACAGAAGTCAGATGCTCCCCAAACAGGCGGTTTGTGGCCAGAGTTAGGGACAGAGGAACATGAACCTTTTTGGGGGAAGCAACCAAGAAGCCTTCTAGCCTAGCTGGTCCAAGGATCCTCATCTCCCTTGAAAGAGAGGGTCCACGGCTTACATCCCAGAGTCTGGCACTCAGTGGCTAAAAGGTTGACCAAGCAAAGTTTTTGCACATTCTCTGGAAATGTCAGAGATGCGTTATGAGCTGCTATTTGGGGTTGCGGGTGAGGGTGTGCCTGTTCTCAACAGGCTGCTCAGAGGGAAAAGACTCCCCTGTGCTCCCCTCCACCATCCCTGGTGCAGAAGGACACCACTGGCCAAGCTTCCTCAACGCAGACAGCCTTCCTTCAACAATGATAGGAAGATGGGAAAATTAATAGGGGTAACATGAGCTCATTTAAATAATAATGAGCTTATGCACATGCCAGGTTTTGATCTTTTCTGATGCATAGATTCCTGGCAGGAACTATGGTCCTAGAAGGTAGTTGAAAGAACCGAAAATAGACTTAAAAAAAAAATCCCAAACCACAATAAAAAAAGAAGCCACCCCAATCATAAACTTAGAACAACAATGAAAAAAACCCCCAAAATTGAAATGTTGCTCCCCCAGAAGAAAAAGGGGAAAATTTGGACTGGCATAAAACCCTTTTCTTCTTCTTTTAAATATTGTTTTTAACAGCTTCAAAAGTAATGAATTACATGTGACTAAAAATAGATCTAGGGGTACTGGTTAATGGGGCCTTTTGAATCATTCAGCATAAGGAACTGTCAATATTTTTTTGAGCTGTCAGAAATCCATTTAGTGATTTTTGACAATTCAAAAAATATTTCCAACTGCTTGATCCAGTTCTTAGTGAATTAGGGAAGGAGAGGGTAAAAGAAATATATCAATTTAAATTATGAACCCAGGGTCTAGCTTCCTGAATCCTGTTTTGTGCTAAAAGAAATACTAAGATGCTGATGTTCACAAAAACTCTCTTCTATTTCCTTCTTTCCTTTCTCACATGAAGTAAAAATCACCAAAAAATATCCATTCATAAATTAAAGATGGAARGGTACCATGGCCATTTGTCTCTAGTGGGAATATTTGGGGCTGGTTTCAAAGGGAATAATACATTGAGCTTCTCTTTGGAGACAGGTTTTTCRAATATGAACATCTGGGTGCAAACAAAATTGCATGGGTTCTCCCTGACCACCCCAAGCTTCATTTGATTGGACTCTAAGCTTCAAATTTAGGATTATGTTTTAAAATTTAGAACCACTTTAGGGGTAACCATTTTCTTGAAGGAGGTAAAGAAGTACCAGTTTGCTACAAGATCAGACAGGCGTAAATCCAAGACACACAGAGTCACAACACTGCTAATCAGACTTGACAATGTACATTTCTTGTTAGAACAACAGACAGGGAAAGACACACAGACGGACAGAAGGCAACAGCAGAAGGCCAAAGTCAGGTAACTGCCATTTGGTATGTCTAAAGATGAATCACGAACACCCCGAAACCATCTCCCTGTCTGGAGAGGTCACGTTATTTCTCTACTGTGGTTAGTGTGATATGATTTTAGTATCCTCTAAGTCAGTTAAAGGAAAGTTTAAGGAAGCAGATTTGGCTTAGCAAAGCAATAAGGAGGTGTCTTTAGGCATCTTTTGCAAAAGTCGAAAATACTGAAAAGTTTGCAAGTTACCATGTCTTTCTTTTTTTTTTTTTTTTTAATAGTTGTTTTTCTTCCTTTCTCCACTTAGGAATGAAAAGTCAGGGGAGTTCACACATGAGACACCACCCCCTTTTCCATACCTTTCAGTACAGGCATGTGAGAACATTATAATGCAAATCAGAACCCAAAAGGATGAGTTTGGAAACTTCAAAGTGAAATCGACTTTTATGATTGTCTACATTGCATATATAGCATTGGGTTTTGTTTGTTTGTTTTTTCTTTTTTTAGGGTTTTTTTTTTTTTTTGCTAATGGGTCAGTCTACCTCATTTAAAAAAAAAATGCACAGGTCAGCACTGATGTTTTGGGAAATGAACTAAAGGAAGAGGATTCTAAAACTTACCACACAAGTCTGGCCTCTTGATACATCCAGAATTTGCTGTGCTACTTGCAAGTCCGTTAAAGGCTGCTAAGCCATCGGAGCTGTAGGCCCTGAGGACCGACAGCATGTTCATTGGCTTTTCCAGGCCCGGGGGCCCCCGCTCCGGCTTTGGCAGACCCACTGAGGGGTCCTGGGCAGGAAGAAGGCCTGGGCTGTGCCACTGCTTCTCAGACGCTTGGGCTAAAGGTGAGACTAGTCCCTGGACGGGCTGGGGGGTGCCTGTGGGCAGCAGGCTGTCCCCGCCGTCGCTGTTGCTGTCCTTGCTGAGGGCAGACAGGGGCTTGCTCATCACTTCGGGCTCCGTTTCGATATCCTCTTCGTCRTTGTTTTCTCCCTTGAAGGAGTCCATGTCCTCGGAGGAGGCGATGTCCGAGAGGTCATCSGTAGCATTCTTAATTGTGGTTTCGGGGATCAGGATTGGGGCGTCCTCTTCGGGGTGGGCTTTCCCATCGGGATCCTTGTTGGAGCAGGAACCGGAGGCCCCGGAGCCCACCACGCCCGGATACACGCCAAACTGCTTGTAGAAGTCTGATGGGAAGTTACAAAAGGCAGGGTCCACGTGGCTGGGCCACGGGCCACTCTTCTGGTCCCCCAGGGTCTCTTTGGCCTGTCCTTGGGCCATCTTCTCAGAAGCAGAGTCTAGAGAGCCAATCATCCCCGAAAGGCCCATCTCCTTGTTGGATTGTGCTGCGGGCAGCAGAGCCATCTTGCCCACCTCCCGGGCCTGCTCTTTGCAGTTGATGGCCACCCCCGCGGCATTCTCTTTGCGTTTCGCTTTTCCCAGGTGGTTAGCCTGCAGATGGAGGGCCATCAGCTCCATGGATGACGTGGTGAAAGCACAAAACAAGCAACCGTGCCAGGCGATGCTATCCTGCACCGTCACTGACGAGCCTGGGAGGGAGGCGTCCGGCCGCACRGACAAGTCCAGAGGCTCGTGCTGAGATTTCTCAGCCTTCCTCTGAGAGGACCTGCYGCTGGGTTTCTCCTCGCCACCCTCAGCTCCGTGGGCTTTCATGGAAGAGGGATCTGACAGGGCTTTGTCCTTCATGTCCCTCTTCTTCAAGGAGCTGAGGACGAAGCTGTCCATGAACGCTTGCAAGGACCCCTGGAAATTCACACCGTTGCTCACGATGCTTTGATAAGCTCTTCCGATCTCGGAGAAGTGGGTGCTCTTGGAAGGAAGGTCGGTGCCTTTCAGGGCGTCTGCAGGAGCCTCTGATGACATRCCGGTGGCCTGCCCCGAATGATCTCCGGAGGAGATCACTCCCGATGTCCACTGCTGAGAGGCAGGGCCACCTCTGAAGTCGATYCCGGGGAGACCCTTAAATGCCCCCCTCAGGATGTCTGGCCTGATAAACAAAGATGCTTTGCTGGACATCTCGTCCTTGTGGTCTTGGTTCGGGGGCTGTCCAGACAGYGGCCCCGCTCCATTCTGTCGCTCACGATGGTGTCGTTCTAGGTGGTATTTTAAGGATGCTGACTGGGTGCCGGCATAGTCACAGTGAGGACACTTGTAGGGTTTCTCACCTGCAAGATTTTGATAGGAGAAAAAGAAAAAGTGTTTRTCTCATTTTGGTGTGCAGAACAAGGCTAGAAGGATCAACATTTGTTCTTTGAAACAAAGCAGCTCAAACTAATAATTAGTTGGAGAACAACTGTTTTTTAATAGAAGAATAATTCGTACTCTTAAGCTTTTTTAATGATTTTGTACCATTTGGGACTATTCAGGAATGACATACTATCTACACACAATTAGCTATCTTTTTCTTTATCTAACATGTGAAAACGGCTGTAGATTTAAAAGCTATGATTATGAAAATTAAGCATAATAATTTCAACCACAGTGATCATTAAAAGTAGAAGTTTAAAAAGACAAAGTATGTAACAAATGGGTGGTTGCAATATTTTGTGTATACAATAGCTCTAAAATTTGTTTAAATTATACACATGGAAACCATTTTTAAACCTAAAAATTTTATGGCACTGTTACGCAAGACTGAAATGAATGATTTAAGTCTTGCTCTGCAGTAAATCATGGATATAATTAGCAAATGGCATACTGCACAAGTAATTTATCATTATTTGGAGGGCACCATTCCAGACGGGCTCAGATATCTGCAGACCTACTGCATTGTTTCTAAATAAAGAACTATAAATACCGATTCTATAAAATATTAATACCATTACAGTGCATTATGATTGCAGCATGTAAAGACATATAGTTAAGATAAAAAGCAGTCAATAAAACTTAAAAGAAAATGAGTAATAAAAAGGCACAAAATATATTTAGTTTCTGTATTTGAAATTAACATTATCTACTGGTCTTTGTAGTGCCTTAAATTTGTACTAATGGCAAACCTAATGCTCCGGTAGTAAAATGTGTAATTTACCTATAATAAGCGCTTTCTAGAGAATAAAAATAGCTTTAAAGAGTGTTTTAAAACATATAAGATAATTTTCAGGAATTAAATATTTATTTAAATTCAACACCCAACTTCTATTGTTCTTTCCACAATAGAGAAGATGCTAGAACAGACAACTTAGATCTGCTGGCATGGTGGGATAGAGGAGCAGAAGGAGGTAAACAAATGTGGATTTYAGTATGTTCCAAGAATTTGTTAGCAATCCTGGGTCTTTTCTAGACTTTGCAACCAAAAAGCTCTTTGGAAAGAACGAAGACTTTGACAGTCCCTGTGTTAGCTTACTCACAATAGTAACCTGTCAATATCCACAATTATTTCTCCCAGGAAGCTTAACTACCTCCCACCCATCCTTCCTCTGTTCTATTGTAAAACAGACTGATCTAAAAAGCACCAGCAAATCGTTGGTGAATGATGTATTCTGAAGACATTTCTCTGTGTCTACCCTCAGCTGAAGACATGATTCCCAGTTTGCCAGGCATAGGATATTTGAGGGCCTGGATTTTGTAAATGTCTTGTTTACCACCAGTCCAGGTTCTGAGTAGGAGACACCACCACGTCATCTCTAGGTTGTGTGCCAGAACTGTGGAGATGCTGTGCATGGTATCAAAATGAGGGGGCCGACAGTCCCTTATTTGTACCTACAAGCTGCTGATAGCTCCCCTGGACATGTCTTCAGAGATACCCTTTGGGTCTGGGGAGGGGACCCATCTGAGCATCTACTTCTATAATCATAAACGTAAAGGTCACAGTCATCTCTGGCTATACCAATGACGTGGATCTAGGGACCTCTATTCTTTTTGAGGTGAAGGTACAAATGGTTTCAAGTACCAGTTTCCCACTTCTTGAAGTTGATCCCCATGTTAGACTCAGACATACTTCAGCCACTGCTATTTGGACAGTCTACTGCAGGTCAGGGAGTCACCACTGGGGTAAAGCACATCTGGGCAGCTAATGTCCCAACTGATTCAGCTGACTTGAAAGTCCAGTGACCAGGTGCAGCAGAGGCAGGCCCCTAAAGCTTAGGGTGTGGGCATGGGGCTCCCGTGGGTTAGTGCAGACCCTGTGAGAAGGCCTAGTAAGTGAGAGCCAGCAGAGGTGAGGCCCACAGGTACTGGGGTGACTCAGGTTGCATTTCAGAAATGCACCTGGAAATGATTAAGTGCATCTGGCAGTGAGACTGTAGAGAAAGCATGGGCCTTCATTAGCAGGAGCTAACGARGGAGAATGTAAACTTTGACCTCTAGACCTGAGGTGGGTGGGGGCTGACTTTTGTGGTGGGGACCACAGGGATGCACAGAGGATGTCGTATGTATATTTCCCAGGGTCACACATTTGAAATGCACAGTGCAGTGGGGTTCTCATAGCACATAATTCATGCAAACAAGCAGGGGAGTTTGTTAGTACACGAGTTCTGAGTCCTAGTATGTAGCAATGCTGGCTTCTTAGGTCTGAAGTTGGGGGCAAAATCTGGTATTTAAAACAAGTGTCCCTCATGATTCAGATGCAGATACTGTAAAGACTACACTTCGCAAAAACAATATAGAATTGTCTGGGAAGCTTTAAAAAGCACTGATATGTGATCCCATCTTTCAATTCTGAGTTAATTGGTCAAAGGTGCACATGGGGTTTGGGGATTTTTCCAAACTCAGGTGACCCTCTTTGGAGCTTGGATGAGGGACCATTGTATTGAGCCTCCCTGGGAAGCACACTTTGATAGGGGTTCTGTGGCATGGCTTAGCAGTGAAAACAATCTAGGCCCCAGGAGGTATCTGAAGAGTCCTTATTGGGGACTGGATACCCCATGCTACTCTGACCTCCATAGGACATAGCCTTGGCTCATTACARGTTCTCATAATGTGAGATGTTAGAGCTTGTATTCTCTGAGGCCTCATCCCCACTCCAAACTCATGGGAAGAACTAAATCAAGTCTCCTGAATGGGCCAGAGATTTTGCATGTACATGTTTGCAACTGCATACCCTTCAACACACAGATTCACTTCTTCACATCGTTTGATTGAATGAACCAGTGGATGAATGAGCACTTCCTACCTCCCAAGCACTGTTCATAGCACTGGAAACTGAGGGAAGAAGCATAGCAACTCACAGCTCTCAGAGAAGACCAATCATGTGGCTATTAAAGCAAGGGACACACACACACACACACACACACACACACACACACATACACCATCACGCGGTAGGTAGGAGGATAGCATCTCTTCACTCAACCTCCTGATCCTTAAAGTTCAAAGGATGAACTTGGCCTCCCCTGCCCCAGAGAAAGGCCATTGCTGAAATCAGAACCCTTCATCTGAGCACTGGGGTCTCCTTGGGCTCAGGCCCTGGCGGATGAGGGCTGCTTCGTGAATGCTCATGGGTTTCTCTGGCTGCAGGTGACAAGCACRGGCTCTGAAAGCCCTCCATCCAGCCACCCTTTCTCTGAGCCCGTGGATGGAAGAGCCCCTCTGTCCGTGCAGTTCCATCTCCTGCCTAGCTCCTAAAGGCCTTGGCTTGGGTGACTGCTTTCTCTCAACCCAGTTCCCCAAATAAATGCTTCAGAGTGACATTCCATGGGACAAACCCTTTGGACTTGTGTTACAAAGAAAGAAAAAGCACCTCAATTTTAATTTCTTTCTGTAACCCCCAAAGGAGGGGTATMACCATCCCCACGCTCTGCCCTGCAGCTTCCCTGGGCTTCCTCTCCAGCCAAGGGGCACAGGAAAATGCTTTTAAGATGAAAGCTAGCTCCYGCCAGCCAGCGTGTGGTTCTGGCCATGGCAAACACAAGGGATCGAAATCGCCTAGGGTAGGCTTGCCCTCCAGAGAATCCTACACAGCCCAAGGGCTTCATGTGCCACTGAGAAAAATCCCAGCTGTTTCCCAAGCCTCTTTCCCCCAAGGACACATTTCAGAGTGCTCAGGAGGCAAACTTCTCACAACATTGGCCTGGATGGGGTGCAGTAACTACTGAGAGGAGGTACCTCAGCACATTCAGCAGACTCGGAGGTGTGGTCAAGGGCTGCTCCTCCATTTGGCCAGCACAGACAAATGCTGAGTCCACCTGTGCTGAGCTACTTCACAGTCAAAGCCACCACATCTGGACCCATTCTTCAACCCAAGCKCTCTGGGCTGACTGACAAATCCCAGGTTGCAGACATGACCAGACTTCTGCAAGGAATCAGGCAGCGGGCCTGCCCGGTCGGTCCCCTCCCAGCTGACTGGACTCTGCCCGAGACTTGGACAGGCATTCCCTGTGCAGCCTTGTGGCACAGGCTACTCCGGGCCCTGCCAGCAGCTCTGTCTATTTGAATGATTGGCCACTTAGGCCATAAATGAGTCCAATCTCCTGGGGGGTCCCTCAGATTGCCTTGAGCTTTCCAGGGGGTCATGAGCCCTCTGTCGGTCACCTCCATGCAGTCTGGGATTTGCCATCTCTGCGCCTGCCTGTGGCAGGAGCCACACACTCATGTGCCTTCAGAGTCAGGTAGAGTACAGGGAACAGTGGGGAGGGGGCCGAAGGGTTCTCCTGGAGAGCAGTCACCACTCGCTTCTAACCAGCTGTGGGCACCTGGATCGCCAGTTCTCTAGGAAATCCTCACTTTCAGATTTCTATATATGGCATCTCAATGTTTATATATTGGTGACTACTTTGAAACTTTTTAAACACTGAGAAGACCMTAGTGTCGTATGTTGCAGTCTAGGTCTGGACCATGCAGCCAGTTTGAAATTTGTGCCTGGGACAAGGATGTGCAGGAGGGGCCCCCTCACCCACTGGAAGTAGCCAATGARGACACTGGTGGCTTTCTGTAGAGATTCACAGTGTTTTAAAGGAACATCATGGGGGTCCAAAGAATACATTTCCAGAAAAGAGAGTTTTGCTAGGAAGGACTTCATGAATTTTTGTTTTTAAAAAAATCAGCTCATCATTCCAGTGCACTAATGAAATGATTGGCACCACCTTGACTTGAGCTAGCTTCACATTGACCTGTGGTATAAGATATTCAATTTTGGAATATCATTGGTAACTTCTTCCATCACTCCTAAATTTTTAGAAATATATAACCAGGTGGTTTAGTCGGTTCGCTATGTCAATTTTTATAAAGT